TACTTCTGTTAATATAAATATTTAATAATTTGATAATATACAATTTTAAATTTCTAGGTAAAATGAAGATGATGTTTCACATCCTTGCCACCCAATCACAAGGCTTCGAAAAATTATTAGCACAAGAAGCAGCTAAGAAAGAACCAATCTTCATTAAGGAGTTACTTGCTAGATTTACCACTGATATTATTGGATCGGTAGCCTTTGGTATTGACTGTAAATGTATGATCGAGCCAGACAATGAGTTCAGAGTTCAATCCCAAAAGGCATTTGGATTTGGTAGTAAATATAAGGCAATGATGCGAATGTTCTGTTCAAATACAGTGCTAAAACTTCTTCGTTACAAACAGTTTGACGACGATCTTGAGAGATTTTTCTCGGATCTTGTGAGGAGTACCATTGAGTACAGGGAAAAGAATGGTGTTTACAGAAAGGACTTTTTGCAGATGTTAATAGAGCTTAAAAATACAGGTAAATATAAACAAATTATATTTTGATAGTAATAAAAACTACTACCAAACATCTTAATAATATTTATTATAAATATGCAATTTATTTACTAGCAGATTAATACACGAGGAATGTCACAAAAAAAGTATTTGACCTTCGTCTATAATGTAGTGTCAAAACGTTTCAACGCCCTCTGTAGGATGCAAGGGTAATTATGCTTGATTTGGAAATGCACACTAGCACAAAATTTTTAAGGAAAAAGATTAAAAACGATGTTTGTACAGGATTATTGAAGCAGAAAAATTATAAAAATGGATACCTTCTTGTTGCAATTTTGTACAAGGATTTCCAAAAATAATGTGACTACCCCGACAAACTTCAAATAAAATTAATACATTTTTCTTCTTCACGTGCCGTATTAGAATAATCGGACGTTGCTTCTCGATCTTTTGCCATTTTGAATAATTGTCCTGCATAATTTTCCTACACATCTACGGCCTCATATTTTGACTTTAAGGATCAGTTGTAGTATTCTATATCGATTCCTACTTACTATATCTTACAGGTAAGACATTTTCCTTAGCTTAACAGTCTTCATCAATTCTCTATTTTTTTGACCCTTCTTAGTAGTTCCTCATTGCTTTTTCTTTCTTTCCAATGTATCTTTGAATCCGTTTATGAATTCACATTTCCAATGCTTCAATTGTGTTCATCATTGATACTTTTAGTGTCCACACTTCTACTACATACAAAAGTACAGACCAAATATAGCACATAATGTCTTAATTTTCATAGTAGTAGTTTTGGTCATTGCTATTCTTGGTTTTATTTCTATGTCTGGATCTAGTTCGTCCGTTATGATAGTATGTGAGCTTTTTCAACATTAATCATATTTAGTTAAAACTCTGCAATTGCATTTACATTACATTATAAACTGCAAATAAGCAAGCCTTAAGGATTCAGTAAAAATGTTCTGAATTTTCTGCTATATAATATGCTCTATAGCAGATCTGAATTAAGTGTTTTGATGAAATTCGTTTTTTTAGGAACCGTAACAGATGACGAAGTAATGAAAAAATCCACTCATGGCACACCTTTCCTCACAATTGAAGAAGTAACCGCTCACTCCATGGCCTTTTTCCTTGCTGGATTCGAAACTTCCTCTACTACAACGACCTTTGCTTTGGTAGAATTGGCCCAAAACCAAGATATTCAAGATAGATTAAGAGCTGAAATTTTGGAAGGTTTAGAAAAGCACGGCGGTGAAATGACTTATGAAGGTCTAAACGAGATGGCGTATTTGGAACAAGTTATTTTGGGTAAGTAAATGTAATAAACTGTATTTGTTTGAGTTGTTAAGTGGCGCATGTTGTAAAATGATCGAGAAAATATTAACTGGAATAGGTTGCACAAATTCCTTGGGTTGGAATTTTAATAATTTCTACAGAATAATATTCGTACTTTAAAGAAGTTTAAAATTTGGATTGTAATTAAAATTGCACCTTTGTTTCAAAATTTACAGTTTTGGCTAGCTACATGGCCAGTAAATGACCATTTTGGACTGTAATTTTCTTCGTCAGGACGAATTTGTTTGAAAATTTGGATTTAGGTTCCACTTACCCTCTGCTTCACTTTTGGACTTAAATTAGGTGTCTTTTAATTGGGGGAGAAAGTCACTCCTTCTCAAGATTAAAAAATATTTGTTCGAAATAAATAAGATAAAGAAATAGATAAATTGACTAAACTGATAATTTAGATAATTGACTTATTTTATTAAATTGAGATTTTTCAATTGAGTTTTTCAAGTCAATACTTTTTGATTTATTGCATCATCATCATAATCACCATCATCATAATCATCATCCAACCATTTATTAGTCGGGTTTTATCGTGTACCTTAACAGTCATAGTGGCATTTTTGTATATATGGTAAATCAGTTCACTATACCTATGGTCAATCCTGCTGTCATTCGTTGCTTTTATAAGGCTCTCTATTTCGATAGTGTCGAACGCTTCAACAGGCCAATACTAGGATGGTTACAGCATTGTTCCATTCTTTGAGCACTCAGGCACTTTGAGCACTTAGGGAAATGTTAATTCTTCAAAAAAAAAAACACAGTTTTAGACGGTTTTTAACAATTAACTCAAAAGTTGTGTCGAAGAAGTTTTTTTGGCAAAAATACAGCTTATAAATCAACAGAAGTATGTAGACAAAGCAAAAGCAGAGTTATAGCTCATAAAAAGTATAGCGTAATTGAATATTTCAACGTAAACTATTTATTTTTTTAAAGACATTTATAGATATATGACTTATATGGGCTAAAGCTTAATACTTCTAAAACAAAACTTATGGTTATCAGCAAACAGAGGTACAACCAATGAACATCAGAGCGCATGGAACAGAGTTCGAAAAAGTCCACAATATCAGCTTTTTGGGGGCCAATGTTAACGATACGCAATGCTGGAATATAAGCAAAGAAATAAGAATACGCACTGAAAAAGCCAGAACGATCTTTTATTAATTAAAGGAAATTTTCAATAAAAGAGATATTACAATAATCCTTAAAATCAAATTAATAAGCTGCTACATATTATCCACATTAGTGTATGGAATGAAGAGCTGTACTATTACAGCAATACTAATAAGAAAACTTGATGCCTTTGAGACGTGAGTACAGAAATAACAAAAACAATGATAATTCGGAAGTTACAATATTTAGACCATGTAATGAGACCATAAGGTATAATGATCCAGAGAGGTATAATTTTCTTCAACTCATAATACAGTGCAAAATCACCCGAAGGAGAGCCCAGGTCGAAGAAGAACATCTTGGTTTCGAAATCTCCGAAAGTGGTATTAAGAGACCTCTGCTAGTCTATTTCGAGTTGGCGTAAACACAGTTATTATAGGCAATATGATCGCCAACGTTCGATAATTGGACAGAGTACTAAAAGAAGAAAAAAATACTCATTGAACATATTGAAATTCCAGAGGACATTGAAACATAATTTATAACAAATAAACATGCTGAAACCGTTCAGCATGTGGATATAATCTTTTTAAAGACATATTCATTGACGTTAACCTTAAAATAAAGTTAGATGGGGAGAGCAAGAAACAGACAGAGAGAGTGAGAGAGAGAGAGAGAGTTTTTGTAAAGAGGTTGAGAGAGTACACCGTTTTTGTTAATTTTAGTAGTAGATTCAACATATTTAACACATGAACGAAATTAAGCTTATATGAGTAGTGAATATATTACAAAACAGTTTTTAAATTAATTTGTATTCTTTTTTAGAAACCCTAAGAAAATACCCACCAATACCAGTACTTCCAAGAATTTGTACACGAACCTATGAAGTAGATTCTAATTTTACGATTAAAAAAGGTACAGCTGTACAAATACCAGTACAGGCCGTTCAACACGATCCAGAAATATATCCGGATCCTCTGAAATTCGATCCCGATCGATTTAGTAAAGAAAATTCCGTCGGTAGATCTAATTTCGCATTCCTATCATTTGGAGAAGGTCCTAGATTATGTATAGGTAAGTCGGAGTTAAAGATAGTTCAAACACTCCTGACCATGGAGCTGCGCGAAGGCGAAGTCAATTGTAAGTGGAATTATACAGTGCACAGTACAATGCGTTTCGCATGGAAGTGGGGACTAAACTAAATTTCGTCTACTGCGCCGTGATCAGGAGTGCTTGCAGTATCTCTACCCATTTGAACATTAGTTATTAGTTATGGTGCTGTGACAAATGACTTTCATTGATTCGTTATTTTAATTTTATTTTTATAAAAAAAATAAATATACTGCGAACATATAAATGGTTACTGAATAATGTTTTACTGAAAAAAGTAAATTATTTATTTTACTAGCATTCCTTAATATCTTTTTTGAATACAACTCAAAGAAGTTTAAAGGTTTTTGGACAAACTGCGACTGGAACTTTTTATTCCTTGTTCTTACGGATATATTTAAATTATTTCATATTTTGCATATCGTTTTGAAATTCGATTGTCCACCATAATAAATATATTAAAAAAAAGGTTTTTGGTGTCTTCCGATGCTAATTAATGATTTTTTCATTTATAGGTATGAGATTTGGTAAAGTACAATCTAAGTGTGCATTAATAACACTTTTGAAGAATTATCGTATTACATTAAATAAAAAAACAGCAACTCCAATCAAACTTGTGCCTCATTTCATCACTGGTGTTCAAGGAGGATTATGGCTAAATTTGGAAAAATTGTAATCACTTGTTAGTCTTAGATATTTTATGCTTGTATTGTTCGAATATGTGTTGTAATAATAAATAACTTATTAAATGATTGTTAAATAAAATACTAGTGTAACTATATATGGACCAAACAACTCAACGAAATACATCTTCAATATTTTTATTGGGAGAAGAAAAACTACAAAAACACAATGAAAATGACTGAAAATGCTTTGTGTGTATTAATAAATAGAGAAGTAAAGAGGTCTGTTGGTTTTTCTGGATGCCAGTCTCGACATGCTGATCAAACGCATTGTCTCTTATACGCCTCAGCATCGTGATCTCCTTGCTGCTGTTGAGGCTGTCTTCTGTCGTCTGATGACCGTGTTCAGAGCTTTAACAGCTTCAGCTGCAGAAGTTTTTGAAGCAAACGATTCATCATCGTCATCCTCCTTTTGCGTTTCTTCATGTTGAATGGCCCTTATAATTTCTTCATCGGTTAGCATTTCTTGGGTGCCAATTTCTTTGTCACAACGATCTGATGCCCATTCTCGAATCTTAGATCCAGTAATTATTGTCGTGTTGTCTTGAGCCAGCTGAGCAACAAGGGAGCTTAAAATGATATCTTTTTCGTTAGATAAAGATGAAGAGTCGTCAACAGCTACTAAGTTTGAGCTCAATTTTTTCAAGAAAGTTGAATCAAATATTGTGAAATGAATGACCAAAAATTTGCCAAATTGAAAAGGACGTCCTTGAGATTAACTTTCTTCAAAGCTACTACAAGATCCGTTTATCTTTACTCGTCAGCAGAAATATTGGAGAGTAAACTTTTTTGATAGCGCAGTTTTTTGTCCTAGATGACATTCTGGTCTATTGGTTGAATCATAGCTGCCGTGTTGAGTGGTAAGAACATGGCAAAAATTTTACCATCTTCACTACGAAGTTCATCAGCTGATGTATGACCAGGGCAGTTGTCCAGCAGCAACAATACCTCCTGAGGGAGGTTCACACGTGCGAGATGACGACAAACATTAGGGACAAATTCAGTGTTGAACCAATGCAAGAACAAATCTATAGTCACACATGCCCTTTTTTGCCTTCAATTCTTCTTCTTCTTTTCTTCTCTTTTTGTTCTCTTCTTTGTATTTTGTAAACTGCGGCTCCGAAAAGATTTTTGGTTGTTGTGTTAAATTACGTACGTAGATTTTTCAGTCAAGACATTCTTCGATTTCCTCTTCCTGATTTTCCTTCTACTTTTTTGCTCTCGATACCATATGGAAAGATTAACAGAGTTGAATGCCGAAGGCTTGTTAGCCGTCCTCACAACAAGCAAACGAAGTTTGTGAGTCCCTGAAGCATTTGCACAAGGCATAAAGGTGATTCTTTCTTTCATAATTTTTTGACCAGGAGCGTTCTTTTCTTAAGATGACACCAATGCGTGGTCTGGTAATATGTACCAAAATAACGCACTTTAATCTTCATTGTAAATTTGCTCAGGTGTCAAATTGTTTTAGCTCAAGTTCTTCAAATGCGGTTCGGAAGGGTTCGATGCCGTCAGCATTAGTCAAAGGTTTCTTACCAGTAATTTTGAGATGTACAACTCCATAACGTAATTTAAAGTTGCCCAACCAACCCTTACATGCTGTAACAGCTTGGTGGTTTGGTGACATTTTACGATGGAAATGACGGGTTTTTCACACAACATTTCACTACTTATCAGAACATGTTTTTTCTGCTGTCGTAGGAACCACATTAACAACGCAGTTTCTACCTTCGGATATTCGGGGGTTTGATCCTCTTCCCCAGACCGCTTCCGTTTCGCTGACGAACTTTTCAATCTTTTTTTTGTTCTTTTTAATGTTTGTAATAGTATATTTTCCAATAACGAACTGGTTTGAAATGAAACTGTAGCTATTTCCTTGCTGTATCAACTTGAGAATTTTGGTCTTATGTTCGATAGTCAAAGTCACGTGTTTATGTGAAACCATCGTAATATGAAAGCACTAACAGAACTACATAATATGTAGGTGGACAAGGAAAGTAAACACTGATGTTTGTCATGTTGATTCATGTTAATTCATGTCAAATCAATCGTGGAAAGGCAGGGGAAGTAGTAAGGCGACCATACTGTACCTTTATTTAACTCACTCAACCACAAAAAACCCACTAAATAACAAATATCTCATTAATAAATCTGAATACAGTAATAATTATCGAATAAATAATATGTGTCTCACTTACAAAAACTTTAGTCTAATTAACTGCGTATTCAAAAGACGCTGCAGCTGTTTTTATAAACGAACATCTGTTATAGGAATAGCCAGCAAAGATACGGATGACGAATCAGCACTTTAGATAAAGAAATTCGAGAACTTTACTGATAAAGTTGTTAGTTCGGTTTCTAGAATTACTCTTACGCCAAAGTCGCGTAATGAGACATATTTAGGAATATTCAGAGCTTCTCTCATCATCTATATAGTTCTAAACAGCCTGTATCCTTTCTCTGTTAGTTTTACACGTATGTTCTCATGCTTCTGCGGCGTATGTTACTTAGTTAGCGGCATAAATATGCAGTTTTCCATCCCAATCTATATTTTAAACCTCAGTTTACTCTTTCGACGTATTAGTGATGACTTGACTACCGAGTGCGTTAGTTTAATTGACAGTTTAAATTACGTGCTTTGTGAAGGTCAGCTTTTTATCCAACGTTATGCCTAGATATTTGGCTTGGTTTACCTATTCGATTCGGGTAACGAATAAGGATAGTAGCCATTTGGTCTGCCTTTTTTTGATACAAGGCAGCCTTTGTTTTGTCGGGGTTGACAGCTATTTTCCACTGCATGCCTCAACTTCGTTGAATGCTCTTTGCAGGCGTCTCATTGCTAAATCTAAGTTAACACTGCTAGCAGCTATCGCTGTATCGTCTGCGTACAGGCTTAGAATCGAACTGGGTTCAAATGGTGTATCTGCCGTATATATGGTGTATAGGTATGACGACAGCACCACCCTCTGTCGATTAGGTATGACGAGAGGTGACAGATTATCGCCTCGCTATAACCATACTGGCTCATTTTATACAGCAGCCTTCGTGCCATACTCAATCGAAAGCTTTATTATTGACAACTACAAAGGCTGCTTCTTTCATTGAACCCTTTCGTGACATATTCTGTTAGTCTCAGAACCCGAAATTTACATAATTGTTCTAATCTAAATCCAAACTGTGCTTTGGGTATGGTTTCGATTGTTTCTGATTCGCTGTTCCAAACAAAAGAATTTTTATCTTTATCAACATTTCTTTTTATAAAATACGTTGTTAGAAGTTTGGAAAATCTGAAAAAGTCTGTTTCATAAATTTTACATCAAAACGAGGGCTCGTCATTTAAATTACTGATACCCAGTCCTGTGGAACTGAAATTGTGGCGTTTTTTTTTTCACAAATCTCTTTATGGTAGCATGGTCTGTATCACATTCTAAATGAGTATGATCAGGAACTTATGATGAATTTCTTTTAGACTTTCCTTTCCTTCAAGTGCTTTTAAAAACATAATCGGTAATATATTATTTCGGTTTTGACCGGGGCACGTATCAGAATCAAGGACTACTTTTTCTACCTATTCTGGCAAGTCTCTAATAAACTGAAATAAGCAAGATGCGATCTCATCAGCTCCTCGTTGAGCTACGCCTTCATGCCACATATAACACGATGTCCGTTTTGTGGTGATATTGCGAAAAAGTCAAATTAAAAGTCCATAACTTTCTTTTATAAAAAGCCACACTAGATGTCAAATTAGGTGTAGCCAAATACTTCTGCAAATCAAATGCAACTACTACAAGCTTGTCTAAGCTCCGCATACTTTCTTCTTTGTGGCCTTGTTTTGTTGTATAATGAAAGGAAACATTATTCTGGTATTGTTGGCTTTCATTTTCTAATCTTTGTTTTTCTTCTTCGGAGGCACAGCTTTTTATCTTTGCAAGTGCGATTAGATGGCTTCTTAAACTTAGATAGAAGTAAAAGATGCTTTCTTTTTTTTAACAACGTCATCTAAGAAACCTCTGGTTTCGCCAAATACTTTCAAAAAGCAACATTTACAGATATTACCATCCATATTCTCCAACTTATAAAGAACTGTAAATTACCTATTTTTGAATGAGTTACCACGCCGTGTTCTTTCTTTAGGTTTTACTGTTATTAAACTAGCCAAATAACGTTTCTATGTATCCATTGTTGACAAGTTTCTGTAGTCTCTAAAAATTTGCTTTGGATCAACAGAGGTAGTCTTTTCATGACATTTTCCTTAAAAGTTTGTGGACACAGATATTGAAACTTGCGCTGAAATGCTCTTACCTTTAGCAATAATGTATTCCTCACCTTTTCTTTTTTTATCAGAATGACCTTTTCCAAATTTCTGTTGCATTGGACCCTGGCCCTTTCGTCATTTTTTTTAAACTTATTTGAGCCAAAGGAAAGTGATCATCTAACTCGTTTTGAGGGTTTTCGGAATCAGCTTTTTAATGTTCACGTTCAGAATCTGATGGTTCTCACAAATTGCTAGATTCAGAACTCAAATTATCACCAGAAGTTACTTCAGAAGCTAATACATTCAGCAAATGAGTATTTTCTTTAAGATTTACTGGTGAAGATAGTGCTGGTTTTAAAACGTGAAAATTGCTTTCTTTACTTCCAGAGGGGCCTGGATATGAAGCTGATTCAACATCAGTCAGTTCTACACTATCAAACTTAATACTTACATTATTAGAAGACGACTGTTCATTTTCTAATAAACACATCTCTTTTAATTTAGAAAGATTTAGACAAACTGACTTAATTACTGACTTACTGACGAAGTGTAACTAACTAGTCATCGATAGAACTTAGCACTAACACAGTGCAATCGACACGTTCGTAAATACGACCAAATGCTCATGAATTATTATGATAAGTACAAAACAACGAAAAGAAAAGTTCGATATATTCATATTATTTGCCACTTACATAAAAAAACTTACAGAAAATGCCACTTAAATATAATATTTATTTGAATCAAAGATGTTAAGTGGAACATAGCATAACATTACCGAAATAATTTGCATATTATTTGATATAACCATAATAAGTACCAATTATCACATATGGACAAAAATGTTTTACCAAAAGAATGTGCATATTATTTGATCTAGACATGATAAGTATTAATTATCAGATATGAACCAAAACGTTATTGTTTAGTTTTGTTTTCGGGTACATGATATAATATTTTAACATGACTATACCAAACAAAATTTGAATAATAGGGACTTATCAATATTATACCAAGCCGTGGCTCATTTTCTAAAACAAAATGCAGTGCAGGACTTTTTTTGGATTTTGGATTTATTATGTTTCTCCCAAACACCACAGATTTCTATTTCCTGCTCTGAGCTTTTCGAAGTTGGAGCATATGCTTAAAGAATGTTCACGTTAACTGGTTTAGCAATATTGTGGGTACTGCAACTCTATCTGATATTCCTATAAAACTAAGTACACATTTGTTACCGTCTTTATTTACTATTATGACCTAAATTTGGTCATCTAACCTCACTGCATCCAAGTATGTCAATGTTGAGTCTTCGCATTTCTTTAATTACGTTATTCACTTTTCCGGCCTTGAATAAACTTCGTACCTTTCATGTACCAATCTCCTTCTTCTTCTTCCAATGGCGCTACAGCCCAAATTGAGCCATGGCCTCCTGTAACTTCTGCCTCCAACAAAGGCGATACCGCGCCACTCGCCTCCAAGAGTGGAGTGGAGTGGAGACCAATCTCCTTATCATGCTTAAATCTAAATATTTGTGGCAACCGGGGGATTCATAACATCCTCTCCCAATTTAAGGGGTGTCTGGAACTAAGAGCCGTTTCTATATTGACTTGATCTATTGTGATTATACTAGGGAAAGTTAATTGGGGTGGTTTTCCGTTGCTTCCCCAATGATTTTTCTTTCGTGTGAGGTTTACTTCTTGGGAATGGATATGTAAGGGAATATATTTGTCTTGGTAGGGATCTTGTGGTGGAGACCGGCACGGGTTGGGGGATAGCCATGGGTTGCGTAGATAGGGTTGCATATCTGAAGTAGATTTATCTCATACCGGGATTGTACAAGAGTATCTACCCACTACCACATAGTAAATAACCTTCCTAATTAATGCAAAAACCCAATAAAGGAGAAGAAAGGCTATCAAAATTTTAAATCATTTAAAAAAATAATCGTTTCTATGTTACTCATCAAAATAAACCAAACTATTAAAATAATCTGATAGCATTCCGATAGATATGTATATTTTTGTAAAATAAACACCTGCACAAATATCTGTATAAGTAACTTTTACAGGTGCAATACCGCAAAATAATTAAATATTTGGAAAAAGTATTAGTTTACTATCTTCATATATGATAACAGATGGAATATCTGTATATCAGCTGGTGGACTAATAAGTGATTTTGATAACAATAAGTGGTAATTTTGATAACAATAAGCTTAGTAATTTATTTTCTAATTTTAAGGATCTGACATATGTTTATATGTTTATAAAATAAATGACAAACACTAAAGTAATAATAAATTTTTAATTACATAGTTGTACTATTAATAGTTTTAATCCAGCAGTCGTGACTGGTTGCACCAGTCATGACCAGTATGACCACGGTCTCTCAAACCGTGTTTATGTTTTATCCTTGTATTTGGAGAAAAAAAGAACAACCTTATATTTTTTTTATTTTTAAAGTATTTATTATACATCATAATATGTGAAACATCGTAAATAACTTATGAATTCTGATTCAAAAATTAAAATGATTTATTTTAAACATGTCTGTAATGTATAATTGGAAAACATGGAACATTTATTTTCTACTTCTAATGAAGCGATTCTTTGTGCTCACGAATTAGTGCCTGTTATATTCTTTATTTTTCTTTATATGTGTATTAATATTGCAGTATTGTATCTATGCATTAGTTAAAAGAAATGACCAAAGATAGAGATCTTTAGAGACAGCCAATAAACAACATCACGATGACCACTAAACTCCGTCCATGGGGACAGGAATAAAGAGAGAGAAAGATAGTTAACACAAAGATACAGAGACATTAATGTAGATGTATATGCATCATGATGATTGTATTAACCATCAAAACGTCAGCAAGTCAAAATAATCAAGAATTTCTTAAAATATTAAGCAAATATGGTAGCTGTTTCAAAGTTCTGTTCTGATGAGACCTATTAGGTCGAAAAACGTATCAACAGATACAAAGGGCGCTGTTTGCGTGAAATCAAATATTTGCTGTCTTTTTCACTTTATTCGGATCTACTCTGTACGCGTACAAAAAACCAATTCGCTAAGGATTGCTGCTTAGTTGAAAAGACGTCTCGTGGAATGCAAATTTTAGATTCCCCGCGTCTCTTTTAACACCTTTATCAACGTCTGTTTTGCTTTGCAATTTTTAGAAAGCACAGATTAAAGCAGAAATCTAAATTGTGTTTCTGAATTTTACGAAAACTTAAACATCCCATTACACGAATAGCGTGCTGGAACATAACGTCGTGGAACAGCGACATGGACTACGACCTAAATGGTGCCCAAAAGAAAGTATGAAAAATGCTTCGGAACAGAAAAAAACCAGCTTACGAGTTCGTACAGACCAAGGGAGTACCTGTAAAGACATGACAACAGCATTTTAAAGAGCTATATGATGCTGAAGAAACGCTGAATATAAGCGAATAAGAAGCAGATATAAGTGCTACCATCAATGACGAAGAAGTAAAAGCTAAGATCAAGAAGCTAAAAAACAGAAAATCACCTGAAACAGATGGTATATCCAATAAACTCTTAAAATATGGAGGCCCTAAACTTTCAAGTAAACTGTCACAACCATTTAACAAAATCTTGAACGACCCAGAAACACCAGAGGAATGGCATAAAAGCATCACCCCATATTTAAAAAAGGACAAAAAGAGGAAAAGACAATTACTAATGCTGAAGAACAACAAGGATTTACAAGAGGGCGGTCTATAACAGATGCAGTACTCATAATAAAAGAAAAAGCTATAGAGTTTGGCATGCCAGTGTATATTTGCTTCATTGATCTGAAGATGGCGTTTGACAGGGTTTGCCTGGGAGACATTCTAAATATATTAATAGAAAATTAAACACCGACCAACATAACAAAGATAGTCCATAACCCAAATAACAACAATGTAACCAACGTTAGAGCAGGAGACCAGTTCACTGAAAATATTCCAACACCGGGAGGAATTAGACAAGACGACAGTTTAAGCCCCTTCTTGTTTAACCTACTGATGAACAAAATTATAAACAAAGTAACATCTCTCAATCTCGGATACAGAATGGGCAACAAAAGAATTGGTATGGTGTGTTACGCAGATGATGAAGCAATTATTCCCGAAGCATATGATCTTTAGAGACAGCTCTTTTAGTTCTTTCATATAAGCCGCCAACTAAATATGACCATTTCTACCAACAAAACTAAATGAATAACAATAGCAAAAGATCCGCTCAGCTGTAAGTTAGTGGTTGAGAACAACCCCATAGAACAGGTGATATAATTTAGATATTTGGGCATAGATATATCAAGCACACACAACCCAGTATATGGCATAGAAGTGCGCGAAGATACCAAGAAAACAAAACATATGCTAAGGGTTACCGAAAAGAAAACCCTAAGAACAATAGTGTGAAAAAAGAAGAGACAGGGTGAGGAATATAAACGTTAGAGAGCAATGCAAAATTCAAGATATTGTAAGATGAGGAAGGCAGCGTAAGAATGTGGTACAATCATGTAGGACTCTCAAATGTAGAATAGACTCTCAAAAATTGCCCTAGGAAACAACCCGCCTGGTTCAAGATCTCTCGGAAAACCAGCTAAAAGATGGAGGTATAGTTGACAATCTACCTCCCATGGAAATTAACCAGAGATCAGAATTAAACAGATCAAAAGATCTCTAATATATATATATATATATATATATATATATATATATATATATATATAATATATATATATAGACAAGGTAGTCCAAAGTTTTTTGACTAGTTTGGAAAAAAATATATGTAAATACTTTTTTCTTTTTGGGTGTGGTAGTCAATAAAAAATAGAGCTTTGCTAAGGCGTACTATTTATTCTGAATTCCGAGCTTTCGGTGGTTATTTGCCACCTTTATCAAGGTCTACAATGAAAATTACTGTGTTATAACATTAGGCTGATGTAATATAAAAGTTATAAAAACTTACCAGAAAGTAAGATTCATAGCATATAAAACACAACGTTAAATAACATGATGTGATCTGAATTATTGAAGGCATTAAAAATTTTAAAAACTTTAAAATACTTAAAAATTAAAGAACATGTTACAAAGTTTAAAAAGTAAAAAATAAGACGACATGTTTGACAAAAAACAGTCGTCTTCGCAGGTTTGAATTCAGTCACATCTCACGAACAGAAAGAGGTAGTAGGAGGAACTATTGTTGTTTAAATAGTTCGATGTAACTACAAAAAACAAACTTTCAAACTGATGTCTAACAAAATGCCGTTTGTGATTTTAGGTACTACCAACCATGTTACCAACTTAGAATTGAGAGGGAAATTTAAAAAAGGTTTTATTATTGTCAAATAATAAAAAGAAAATAGTATTTAGTAAATAGGTTTAGAAAAAACAAACAAACAAAACAAAATGAACATCTGAATAATAACTGAAGTTAATCATGATAATTATAGCAATTAATAATGGAATTTACGAAACATGAAGCACTCTGAGATGCAGAAATGACTTTTGACTAGGGTTTTCTGCATCTCAGAGTGCTTCATGTTTCGTAAATTCCATTATTAATTGCTATAATTATCATGATTAACTTCAGTTATTATTCAGATGTTCATTTTGTTTTGTTTGTTTGTTTTTTCTAAACCTATTTACTAAATACTATTTTCTTTTTATTTTTGACAATAATAAAACCTTTTTTAAATTTCCCTCTCAATTCTAAGTTGGTAACATGGTTGGTAGTACCTAAAATCACAAACGGCATTTTGTTAGACATCAGTTTGAAAGTTTGTTTTTTGTAGTTACATCGAACTATTTAAACAACAATAGTTCCTCCTACTACCTCTTTCTGTTCGTGAGATGTGACTGAATTCAAACCTGCGAAGACGACTGTTTTTTGTCAAACATGTCGTCTTATTTTTTACTTTTTAAACTTTGTAACATGTTCTTTAATTTTTAAGTATTTTAAAGTTTTTAAAATTTTTAATGCCTTCAATAATTCAGATCACATCATGTTATTTAACGTTGTGTTTTATATGCTATGAATCTTACTTTCTGGTAAGTTTTTATAACTTTTATATTACATCAGCCTAATGTTATAACACAGTAATTTTCATTGTAGACCTTGATAAAGGTGGCAAATAACCACCGAAAGCTCGGAATTCAGAATAAATAGTACGCCTTAGCAAAGCTCTATTTTTTATTGACTACCACACCCAAAAAGAAAAAAGTATTTACATATATATATATATATATATAATATATATAATATATATATATATATATATATATATATATATATATTCTTATGAACTTAACACATTGCAGTTTTTACATAAAGAAAAGGAAGAAAAAAGTGACAATAACAATAATAAATAAGTAAGTAAATAAGTAAACACTGACACAGAACATATAAAATTAAAATTATTAAATTAAAGTCGAAGGTTACATCCTCGAAGCCAATTTCTCGCCTTGGGAGTAAGTTGGTGGATTTCTTGAAGGCTGCCAAAGAACTTGGTGGCTGGACACTCGAAGACGATGTGGTTAATTGTTTGTTCAGCAGCGCTGCATTTGTCACATTCCGGGCTGGCATTTATACCACATTGATTCAGCGATTTGTTACAAATTCCATGACCAACTCGTATTCTATTTAGGTTGCACCATTCACGACGGGGAAGAGAAAAGCCGTCTGGTTTGATTGTGGGGTTTTCTATCAGATTGGAATTTCTGATGTCTGGATTCCATTCGCCCATCCAGTGCTCTTCGGTAGTGAAAACAGCCAATTTTGTAGCAGTTCTAGTAGGTGGATGTCTGGATTTCAGTCTTAACTGCCTTTGGTGTAGTTCAGCGATGTCTGTGTTTATCGGTAGTTCTGGGTTTTGTTGGCATTTTTGAACTAGAGTGTTGAGTGCGGCTAGTCGTCTTGTTGCTGGTGAAGCGATGTTGCTTAAAACTGGAAGCCATTGGGTTGGTGTGGGCTTTATAGTTCCCGTTATGTGCCTCATTGTTTGGTTTAACTGGGTATCTATGACTTTTGTGTGATGACTGTTTAGCCAGACAGGAGCGCAATATTCTGCAGTAGGATATACTAAGGACAGCGCGCTCGTTCTTATTACCTCAGCATTAGACCCATGTGTTTGCTAACTTATGCTACTATAATATTATTGCGGGTCTTAATTTTTGCTGAAGTATTTTCCAAATACTTTTTGAATGTTAGGTATCAAAGGACTTTTTGAATGTTAGGAAATGTGAGGTATTTTGGGTTAGCACTCTGCTTTAGACTGGTTCCATCGCATTCTATGTTTAGTCTGTCATTTGCCTTGTTATTTAGATGGAAAGCTGTTAATTCACTTTTCGATGGATTTGGTTGTAGGCTTCACTTCTTAAAGTATTTGTTAAGAGTGTTTAGATCTGCTTCTATGGTGGATTCGGCGATGTTTATGTCTTCTTCTTGGGCACCCAAGGCCATGTCATCGGCATAAATAAATTTGCGCGAGGTGGTAGTTGGTACATCTGACGTATAAATATTAAAAAGAAGAGGAGACATAACTAACCCTTGTGGCAAGCCATTTTGTAGGTTTCTAAAGTTACTATTTTTCCCATTTAGTTGTACTTGGAAAAGTCTGTCACGTAGCATTTGGTTTAACAACCTGTTGAACGCACGGCACGGTAACATCTGGTATATTTTATATAAAAGGCCCTACTTCCACATTGTGTCGTAGGCGCAGGTCAAGTCTATGAATGCTGCTACTGTTTTCAGTTTCTTTTGGAATCCGTTCTCAATAAATGTTGTTAAGGAGAGGACTTGGTCGCCACAGCTTCTTTCCGGCATGAATCCAGCTTGTTCTTTGGGAATATTTGACTTTGTAAAGTAAAATAGTCTCGTTTGGATTATCCTCTCGAAAATCTTGTAGCAGACGCTTAAAAGAGCGATTGGTCTGTAGCTCTCAGGTAATGCAGGGTCTTTCCCAGGTTTAGATATTGCGATGATCTTACTTTTTTTGAAGGATTTTGGAAACTTCTGCTTAGTTAGTATTTGATTGTAGAATTCAAGAAGCCACTTTCTGGCATTTGAACCAATGTGTTTTATAAATTCAGGATACATGTTGCCAACTCCTGCGGCTTTACGACATTTTATTAATTTTTGAGCTTTCTCAAGTTCTTCTGGTTCGATGAGCTTCATTATCGGTAGGCTTTGTTGTTGAGCAAGTTTGGCTTCTTTTAACTGAGATCGAACTTCTCTTTTACGATCTTTTTCTATTACTGGTTTTGAAAGGTTGGCTATGCGTTTGCCTATGTCTTCTGGTTTTGGGACTGTAGAGTTTGTTGTAGGACTGTTTGGGCCAGAGTCTAGCTTCCTTAGAAGGTTCCATGCTGTGCGGCTGCTGTGTGTGAAATTGAGATTTTCTAAAGTTTCTCTCCACCTTGTGGTTCTTGCGGAGTTAAGGATTTCTAAGAGTTGTTCACCAACTTCAGGATCTCCAGATTTCTCATACTGATCAAACAGTTCTTTACATTCGTCGTTCCAACATGGGATGTTGGATTTGGTAAATCGATGTTTTTCTTTTCCCAGTGGAAGGGAGGTTTTTGCGAGTTTCAGATCATTGACACTCAATTCCGATTTCGAAATGTATTAAGAACATGAGAAGCTTTTTTAGCTTGTTTAGCAAACAACGATGCAGAGACATGAATGTGGATGTATTTGCATGTTTTATTAATCATCAAAAAGTTTGATCAGATGTTACGTTTTCTCTGTTTTACTCTATGGCAGTGAAAGTTGGACAATGGACTCTGAAACAGAAAAAAAATATATGTCAATGAAATGTATATATACAACGGATGCTGAGAATTTCATGGATACAAAAAGTTACCAATGATAAGGTACAGAAAAAAATACAATACCTGGGTCATGTGTTAAGAGGTGAAAGATATAATTTACTCCAAATCATATTGAAAGGTAAAGAGCAGGGTAAAAAAATCAGTTGGAAGGCTCCAGAACTCATGGCTGAAAGACCTGAGGAAATGGTTTGACCTCTCATTCACAGAAATCTTTCGTGCAGCAATTTCCACAGCTACAATTTCCATTTGGATCGCCAGTCTTCGAAAGGAGACGGCGCACTAAGAAGAAGAAAAATAGTGAGGTCTTGAGGGAAGTTCGAGGTGGCAAATTCTTGTTCCAAAATTGATATTGCATATTGATATATATGCAACAAAACTCAGGAAACTTGTTCAGCTTGTTCGTATTGTTTTTAAAAATGCAATTTTAGTCTCTGACGACTGGACTCTTAGTTTTCTGACGATTGAAGTATATTAAATAATATATTTTTAATGTACCTCGTTATTAACTGAATGACCAGAGCGGAATGAACCGAAAAATGTTAAAAATACATGGCCATCAATATAAAAGATGTTTATGTCTATCTCATTTAAAAACATTATATTAAATTCAATGTTAAATCGTTTGTTAACGTTACCTATCATGCACAGATATTATTAGTTACACTACACATCAAAGTGTGGTTATCTCGAAACAATTCAAGAATTTGTTTAAGTGTATGATAAGATGATATCAAAAGTATTATTTAGTATATATATTATATTATTTTAACTAAAATTAAAGTAAATTGATAACCATATCACGATGTTATTATATTTTGTTTACTTTTTGCTTGCCCTACCCATTGTTGCTTATCTCTACGTAAAATGGGCGTACGGGTACTGGGACAGAAAAGGCGTATATACCGTAGAACCAGTTTTTCCAGTCGGCAGCTTCCAAGATGTACAAAAGGGTAAAATATCAAGCTTTGATTTTTACAAGAAGTTCTACTCAGACATAAAAAAGAAAGGATTGAAATATGGTGGACTCTATCTGCAGTTACAACCTACATGGATACCTGTTGATTTGGAATTAATAAAGAATGTAATGTCGAAGGATTTTGGACATTTTACTGATCATGGTTTATACCTTAATACAAAGGTAGATCCTATCAGCGGAAGCTTGTTTATGTTGGAAGGAGAAAAATGGAGGAATCACAGAGCCAAGCTGACTCCCACTTTTACCTCAGGTAATTATTTGTACACTTGTTTCTTATTTACAATTATTCTTATTTTTACTTATGATTTTCTACGTAAATTATTAGCCTACAACTTAACAAATGGCGGTTTATACAGGGTTGAAGCATTAATGTGAGAAAGTAAAATTATTCATTTTTTGTAAGAGATAAGAAAAAAATATTTAGGTAAAGGTTTGAGCACAGATTATACTTTAAAAATATTTTCAGATATGTAGGGCTCTTCATATAGACATGGTAGAACAATTTTTAAATTGTTTTTAATTAACACCCTGTATATTTTTACATTTTTTACTTTTCTCGATGTTGTCATTTTTGCAATACATTGCAAGTTGTAGTTATCTTCGATTTATAATAGAAAAAAGATACAGTTTATCGTTTATCTTATCAATACCAGGTGCTTTTCTGTTTTTTAATTTTGTTATTCGTTCTTGTAGCTCTTCTTCTGATATTAGTACTCATTAACGTGAGTTTCGTTAATGATTTTTTTCTCTGTTCTCTTCCTCTTCTTCTCCATATACTTTCGTAAAATGCCTAGTCCATTGTTCATGTATACTTGTATTCCAATACTTCCTTAGCCTCTTCTATGGCATTTTCAAACGCATCACATAACTCACAGCGGTATGAAGAAACTAATATTAAACCCTGTATTAGATTGTTTTTCTGGTAATTTTGTTTATAGTCATTAAATATATCGGTATATTGAGAGGTAAATAAACTGGTCCCAGATTGGTCGTTTGTAGTATGTTTGCAGTAATTACCTTGAAACAATATTTTTGTTTAATTGTAGACATTCTCATCAGTAGATTAAATTCAAGGATTCACGGATTCAATTGTTTAATATTAGTAACCAATTACAATGTTATCTATACACATTTAAAATGTCATCTTAGTTAATTATTTATAACTTACTGATTTCAAAATATTAAAGAGTATATCAAGGTCAAACCGTGACCTTACTATGAAAACCGAAACCTTTTTTAATTTTTGGCATCTTTATCATTGGTGCTATGCCCTCATTTGAGCTCCTCACTAAACTTGTCTCTCTATTCAGTCATCTTCTATAGTAGATTCGTCTAGATTCGTTTATATTCATATAGTAGATTCATATAGTATATATTCATCTACTATAGTAGAAACCAAAGTTAGAATGCAGTGTTAGTCTTACCGCGCTCAGCGATGCTACTCATGTCGGCACAGGGGTAGGTGTATGATAGTTGCGATATACTGAGAAATCAGGACCGTACGCGGTTCATTTCAAAAATGTTTACTCAATAATTTAATTGAGTTAAATAAGAAAAAAAAACAAAAAAAAACAAATTAATTCTATAAAAATTGCTTGTTTATATAAAATATTTACTACATTACATTAAAATATAAACGAATAACTACTTATATACAAAAAAGTGTTTCCGCAATTGTTTCCGCAGTATCTTATAATTTACTTTTTAGGTACCTAATATTTCTCTAAAAAAATTTTTTTCTCGATTATCCAATCCTTGGTTTTTTCGTGAAATTAAATTTGCGGGAGTTTGTCTTTTGGCATGTTTGAAATTGACTTCTTCTTAAACCATTTTTCATATAGATCCCTGTACATTTCATCATGGTAATCAGCGGTTCGCTTCTCGGCCAAGAAAGTTAATTCGGCCTATGTCACAGAACCAGTTTCGCTTCTAGCACGAAAAAGAACAAACCAAGGACCTCTTTGGGTTGGAGCTTTCAGTTGAGTAGAAAACCCCTTATATGAAGGCATCTCGTGGATTCTTGATCGTTGTATCCCACCATCCCTTTTCGACTAAAGCACCGACGTTAGTCCAAAACTCATCCGTATAAACAATATTTATATTATTCTTCTTTCTCAATGTTTTTATTTGTCTAAGGTACTTGTATCTCTAGGATATAATATCTTTTCTTTCCATCATTATCGAATATGGATCTCTTTTACCATATTCAAAACCCATGTCATTTAGTAGCCTACGAAATGCGGTTTTTGAAAAAGTTGGTAGGTCCTCACCATTCTTCACCATGTTCATTATTCTGTCGACGATGCTGTTTGTATGTTTTTCAAAAAAACATCGTGGATAATTTTCCTTATTTGAGATTTCATCCCTCATTGTAAGTATTCTCACGTGAATTGTACTAAAAACTGCTTTTTTTTCCTTTTTTGTGCCGGTTACAGTTCGCCTTGCTTGGCCTCTTTGCTGATGTCATAAATTTTGCGAACACTCACACTGCACATTTTCGAAACTTTTTTCACAGTCTCCAATACATTTCCAATACATTTAACACCACACATTTTACTTGCACACTAAGAGTCATACCCTGTTTGAAATTCACGACAGATACTGGCAACGAAGTCATGATGTAGGTACCTTTATCCACTTCTGAAGTGCATAAGAACTGAGCACTCATAGTTTTTGCCAGCAAGGCCAGTACCCAAATCGAAGTAGACCAGTGTTCGTTAATAGACGGGAAGGTAATTGCTGGAATAGCTCTATAACCGTGTGAGAGAGGTTGCTAATGAAGTAATCGGGTACAGAGGTAGTAAGGTGGTAAATGAGGTTGGAAAGATTACTTGATGTAGTGGTTGCATATAATAGAAGCAGAAAGAAAGACTTGATATTTCTGTTAATATATTTTTGGAAAAATATTTAAATTGATTGTATTCAATACATATTATATTTTATTTAAATCTGTCATTTTAATTTTTTAGGTAAAATGAAGATGATGTTTCACATCCTTGTCACCCAATCACAAGCCTTAGAAAAATTGTTAGCAGAAGAAGCAGCTAAGAATGGACCAGTCTTCATCAAGGAGTTACTTGCTAGATTTACCACTGACATTATTGGATCGGTAGCCTTTGGTATTGACTGTAAATGCATGATCGAGCCAGACAATGAGTTCCGAATTCAAGGGCAGAGGGCCTTCGGAGTCGGAGTTAAAAATAAATATAAGATGCTACTGCGAAAGTACTGTTCAAATAAAGTACTGACCCTTCTCCGTTATAAACAGACTGATGACGAAGTTGAAAAATTTTTCTCTGATCTTGTGAGGAGTACAATTGATTACAGGGAAAAGAATGGTATTTACAGAAAGGACTTTTTGCAGATGTTAATAGAACTTAAAAATACAGGTAAATATTGAAAACATAATATTATATATATATATATATATATATAATATATATATATATATGTATATATATATATATATATATATATATATATATATATATATATATATATATATATATATATTGGATTTGAAACTTCCGCGGGAGCTATAAGTGATTTCAGTTGTTTTCCGGGTTTGACTCCGCGTTAAGTAATTTTGGTTTTTAGAAAAACCATTGTTTTGATGACGTTTCGGCAAGGTCACACTTGCCATTGTCAAGTCAGATTAGTTCTGCTTCGTCTTGATGTCTTGAAGTTCTCCTGAAACATCAAGACGAAGCAGAACTAATCTGACTTGACAATGGCAAGTGTGACCTTGCCGAAACGTCGTCAAAACAATGGTTTTTCTAAAAACCAAAATTACTTAACGCGGAGTCAAACCCGGAAAACAACTGAAATCATATATATATATATATATATATATATATATATATATATATTAATTCTATTGTAAAATATAATATTGAACTCACCAGTCTTCCGGGTTGAACCACGTAGATATCCATTGGGCCGAGCTTTCGACATCCTTCTGATGTCTTATTCAGGGCTTTCGGGGTTTCAGTCTCCCGAGTCTCCTGACAATCGGGAGACTGAGATATTGATATGATATGATATTGAGATATGATATGAGATATTGATATTGAGATATTGATATTGAGATATGATATGATATTACAGTTTTTATGGCAGATGATTACAATGGTTTTTATACAGGACTGTTCAAGTACAAAAATGATAAATACTGATGGCACATAGCGATTACTTCAAAAAGGAATAGATTGTCTCATTATTTATTTAAATATTTTCTGAGTTAATGATTTCGTTTTTTTTAGGAACTGTAACAGATGACGAAGTAATGAAAAAATCCACTTATGGCAAACCTTTCCTCACGATTGAAGAAGTAACCGCCCACTCCCTGACCTTCTTCCTTGCTGGATTCGAAACTTCCTCTACTACAATGACTTTTGCTTTGGTAGAATTGGCCCAAAACCAAGAAATTCAAGATAGATTAAGAGCTGAAATCTTAGAAGTTTTAGAAAAGTACAACGGTGAAATGACTTATGAAGCTCTAAAAGAGATGACATATTTGGAACAAACTATTTTGGGTGAGTAAATGTAATAAACTATGGTTTTAACACTAAATTGTTTCCCAATATGACATATTCAATGTTTCACTTAGAGTATTATTACCAGATCTTGCAAACTAAAAATATATTGTGTCTATAGAAAGTATAATGGTGATAAAGTTTTTGGGTTTTGTATAATTTAAGCCTTTAAAAACAAAACTAGTGTATTTGTGAAATAAACTCAATAAAATATTATATAAAATATAATAAATTCGGAGGCAACAAATAGTTTCTAAAGAATATGATCACTGCTTAATCAGCTTTCTGAAGGCATATTTATTCACCGAATAACGAAAACAGAGTATATAATTAATACATTGCAAAAGTGTTCCATTTATTTGTATTCTAATATGTTTTTTTTTCTTTAGAAACCCTAAGAAAATACCCACCAATACCGATACTACCAAGAATTTGTACACGAACATACGAAGTAGATTCGAATTGCACGATTACCAAAGGTACAGCTGTACAAATACCAGTACAGGCCGTTCAACACGATCCAGAAATATATCCAGATCCTCTGAAATTCGATCCCGATAGATTTAGTAAAGAAAATTCCGTCGGTAGATCTAATTTCGCATTCCTGTCATTTGGAGAAGGTCCTAGATTATGTATAGGTAAGTCCGTGTTACCCATTTGAACATTAGTTATTGTGTTATTGATTTTTACCGATTAATTATTTTTTTTTGACATAGGTTTATGATGAAATTACTTATACTGTAAAACATGTTAAAATTTCATTTTATCATCTCTCAAATAATTTTAGATACAGTTATTTTGAAAAAAACCATGTGATTGGTTACAATTTAAAGAAGTTTCAAGGTTTTTTAGACAAGTTCGACTGAACTCTTTTCTATCTTTTCCTTTATGGATATATTTAAATGACTTCATATTTGACATTTTGGTTTCCAACTCGAAGATTGTTTTGAAAATCGAGTATCCTTGCACCCTGATAAATGCACCTTTAATTTTTTTTTTGAACCTATTCTCTATCCTTCCATTGTTGGATATAGGTCTCCCCCACTTCTCTCAATCTTTTCCTATCTTGAGCTGTTCTCTGCCAAGTGGGACCTCCTTGTTTCCTGATGTCATCTTTCCACCTCATCTGTGGTCTGCCTCTTGATCTCTTTGCATTATATGGACGCCACTTTCCGATGGCATTGTTCTATCGTCCGTCTTGGAGACGTTCATTGTGTCCAGCCCATTTCCATTTCAGTTTTGCTGCTTGTTCTATCGCGCCTACTGTCTTTATTCTGGTTCTGATCCACTGGTTACGTTTTCTATCTTTAAGTAATATACTCAACATTTGTCTCTCCATCGCTCTTTGTGCCTTCCTTATCCAATCCAAAATGGCCTGTGTAAATGTCCATGTCTGTGCTCCGTAGGTGAGCACCGGTATTATACAGGAGTTATATACCTTGCTTCGTAAGTATAGAGGGATTGTTTGATTTTTTAGAACGTAAGAAAGTTTGCCGAACGCTGCCCATCCCATTCTTACTCGTCTCGATATTTCGGCTGTTTGATTTGCTCTGTTAGCTCTGATTGCTTGTCCTAGATAGATATACTCATTTACCTGTTCTATTTTATCTGTTTGTATTTTTATTGCCTCTTGGTCTTCCGTGTTTGTCATTACTTTTGTTTTGTTGAAGTTAATTTTTACGCCTTTTTGCAGTGATTTTTCATTAAGTTCATTCAGCATTAATTCCAGTTCTTGTCGTTCCGAGGAGATCAGGAGTATATCATCCGCACATCTAAGGTGATTTAGGTATTTTCCGTTAATACATATTCCTCTGTTTTCCCAATCTGTTGATTTTATTATGTCTTCGAGGGTCAAGGTAAACAGTTTAGGTGAAATTATATCGCCTTGTCGGACTCATCGTTTAACTTTTATATTATCCGTTATTAATTTGTCGTCCAGAATTACGGTCATGGTTGCGTCTGGTAAATATCATGTATCAATTGTCGGTATCTTGAATCTATTCTACTATTGACCAGAGCTTCTTCAACCGTTCAGTGTTCAATGCTGTCGAAAGCCTTTTCATAATCTACGAATGCTAAGTACAGCGGAAGGTTGTATTCATTGGTTTTCTCAATTAAGATTTTAAGCGCATGTAGATGGTCGATTGTGCTGTATCGTTTCCTGAATCCGGCCTGTTCCACTGGTTGGTAGATATCAAGTTTATAGGTTAGTCGGTTGTTTATTATTCTTGTGAAGGTTTTATATAGTTGTGACAAAAGGGATATAAGACGGTAGTTGTTTAGGTCTATTCGGTCTCCTTTCTTATGTATTAAGATTTTGTTGGCATTTCTCCATTGTTTAGGTATTTTATCTTCAAACAGACATTTGTTGAACAGTATTTTTAGCATTTTTTTATCGTGTCTCCTCCTTTTAGCAGTTCCGCCAGTGTTTTGTCCTCACCGGGCGTTTTATTTCTTTTCATGTCGTTTATGGATTTTTCGATTAAATCTTCAGTTATTTCTGGTAATACCTCTGAACATTTTGTATTTTCCTCGAGAGATTCTGTTTAGATGATAGTGGTGGGTAATTTTTTGAACTATATTTGAACTATATAGGTCTGTGTAATATCTTTCTGTGATTTTTACTATTTCTCCTAGATCTCTTTCTTCATTGTTCTCAGCTTTAAGCATGATTAGTTTTCTTTTTCCTATATTTGTCTTCATTGTTTTTAAACTTTTGTTCTTCTCTATGATTTTCTTAATGCGATCTTCTTGATATTTCTTTAAATCTTCCTTTATCTGTTTTCTTATGGTTTTGTTCAGTCCGGTCAACTCCACTATTTTTCTTTTGTTATCATTCAGGAGTTCGTCGTTTTTTTAGCATATCTTGTGATTTAGCGCTAATTTTTTGTTGTTTTCGCTTTTGTTTATTAGCAATCTTCAGGACTGCTTCTAGTAGTTGTGTTGTTATTTTATCGTTTATTTCGTCTAGTTTAACTAGACAACTAGACAACTAGACCTTTAAATTATAAATATGAAAAAAAAGTTCTTCGGTGTCTTTCTTTACTAATTAATGTTTTTTTTCATTTATAGGTATGAGATTTGGTAAAGTACAATCTAAGTGCGGTTTAGTAACCCTTCTAAAGAATTATCGTATTACATTAAATGAAAAAACAGAAACTCCAATCAAACTTGTGCCTCATTTCATCACTGGTGTTCAAGGAGGATTATGGCTAAATTTGGAAAAATTGTAATAGTGCTCTTTTCATATGTTGTTTGTTTGTATTGTTCGAATATATGTTGTAATAATAGATAAGTTATTAAATAAATGTTAAATAAAATAATAGTGTAACCATATTTTTGTACCAAACAACTGAACACGCGACAACAGTGCTATATGAACATACATATAACAGTACAAGTACTAAGAATTATTTACCATCTGCTCAAATATATAATACTAAATATAAAAATGAGGTTAGATCTTTGTAAATGGGTATATTTAAAAACCCTTAAGAGGGGTACATCAATTACACGAACGTTTTCGGAATAAAAATTCCATCATCAGGTTTAAATTGCCTAAAATAAGTATAAACCATGTGGTGGCCTGAGCCACCAAAATATCAGGGTAAAAACCCTTTAAATTACATATGTTTACTAAAGATTGTACATAATGTTGTTAATCACATTTGATGTTTGATATTAATTTTAATTTGACTTCAGGTAACATACACTCATGTTTTAGGCGACTTCCAGTGGTCGGAAAGTAAACCTCTTCAAACGGGCTCCAGCTGGTAACTGATTGACAAGATACTTATGAACGGTGTCGAAAACAAAATTTCAATGCACCATGAAACAATCTTGATTATACATAGTATTACTACAGCCAAAAGATTTAAAAACATTTATGATGTTACAAAAATAACAGCAATCCAGGTGTTGGGATTTAAAAAAAATTTAATTATTTAATTTTGGATATAAAATATTTGAAATTACCGATGGTATTAAAGGTTATGTTTAAGAGAATATAATAAACCACTAGCTTTAATATTTGTCGACTATGAAAAGGCATTCGAAACCGTAAATCAACAAAAAATGTTGGAAGCCTTGATAGAATGCCGAATTGACTATAGGTATAATAACATAATTTATATTATGTTATTATACCTATAGTCAATAGTCAGTATACCTATATAAAATTTATTTATAAACACATATATCAAAACGCAACAGCCAGTGTTAGAGTGGGTGATCGTAAAACCCAGAAATTCCCGATACAACGTGGAGTACGCCAGGGGGACACTATATCGCCGAAACTGTTCACTAAGCTTTTGGAATATAATATGTAAAAGGGCAAAACTCACCGACAAGGGCATAAACATAAAAGGACAAAAGCTTAGCCATCTAAGGTTTGCAGATGATATTGTACTAATAGCTGACAGGATAGATAAGGCCAAAGAACTTTTAAATCAGCTCTACCTTTCCTCGCTAGAAGGGGAATTGAAAATAAATATATCTAAAACCCAGATGATGACAAATCTTGTAGTCAGCGAAGAGATATGCGTAGAAACAAGATCCATAAATCAGATAATGGCCTATAAATACCTGGGTCATGAGATCCGCATAGGAAAAGGTAACCAAACCGTTGACCTTCTCCGTCCTATAAGACTGACTTGGGTAGCCTTCGGCAAGCTGAACCATATTTTCAAATCGTCTGATATACCAATATGCCTTAAAAGAAAAACCTTTAACCAGTATGTTTTGCCAGTGTTGACTTACGGTGCGGAAACGTTGACCATGACAAAGAGAACAGTTCAAAAGATCCGTGTGTGTTAAAGGGCGATGGGCGTTTCACTACGAGACAAAATCCCAAATCTCCAGCTACGACAAAGAACAGGAGTGGCTGATGCAGTAGAGAGAGTAGCAACACTGAAATGAAACTGGGCAGGTCACGTGGCTCGAATGACAGATAATAGATGGACAAAGCGGATACTGGAATGGAGGCCAAGAGATGATGCCTACCTAAGCAGAGGTCGTCTACCAACACGTTGGACTGACGATCTAAAACGTTGTAATAGGAATTGGATGCAAGAGGCGCAAGATCGAAATAGATGGAAAATTATGAGGGAGCTCTATCTCCAGCAGTGGATTAGCGAAGATTTAATGATGATTTCTTTGCCATAAGCTAGTTATCAAAACAAAAAATTTATTTTTCAGAGCAAAAATGTGTTCAGGTTCTTTTTTTTAAGCAGTAGTATTCAAAAAATTTTCTTTTTATTGTTAAAGAAAAACAATGATCATTATTTACATTTATAAGAATTTGCTAAATAAAATTTAATGTATTAAATGTGAAATTACACAAAATATTAAAAAGCATTTTTATTTTCGCTCTCCTGTAAAAGTTCCCTAGTTTACATTTTAAAGACAGGTTTGTTATCGACTACACAAAAAGCAGTAATTTTAGACGTCCAACCTTCAAAATATTATTTCATCGAAATAGTTGGAATAAATCACATACTTTCATTTCATTAGTTGACAGTAAAACAAATAGAGAGCACTATAGGAGATATTAGAAGGTAATTGGTCAAGTGAATAACCAATCACCTCCAGTAAATTGATTCATTTAAGTTAAATAGGTGGATCATTTAATGAACTTCAGGTGACGCCTACATTAATCACTGTAGAAGTCATTAAAAATATATATGAAGAAAAACGAAATAAAATAAAATGAAAACACACGTTTACAAATTATAAAAAAAATAAACTCTTTATTAAAAAACGCAAAAACACAAAAATATGCGTATTTAATAATACTAATAATCATATACACATATACACAATGAAAAATTAAGTACCCACTTTTTGTTTATCTTCTCACGTTTTTTGTATATTAATGAAAAATTGTTTTTGGGGAGGAAGTGGCATGATCTGCTCTGAATTTATTTTGTTGAGAAGGAGCATGGAGAATATTGGGTATTAGGTCAGATTTGACGTTTGGATGCCTAGACAGAAGTGAGGAAAGAAGGGAGTTGAATATATTATATATATTCCTCACTTCTGTCTAGGCATCCAAACGTCAAATCTGACCTAATACCCAATATTCTCCATGCTCCTTCTCAACAAAATAAATTCAGAGCAGATCATGCCACTTCCTCCCCAAAAACAATTTTTCATTAATATACACCATCATCCACTCAACCACATATCTTCACCTTTTCATACTGCGTTTTTCATTTTCATTTACAACTTCTTTTTACTCATCCAATTTCCCTCAGGGTTTGGTTTTCGAGTCTCTGGGGTCTTCAGTATTTTGTAGTTTTTCCCCTTCATCTTCACAATAACATTTAAACATCACACATCTTTAGTAAACTTGACAGATCCACCTTAAACACAACTACTCTAACATTTTCACATATTGTCACAATACACTCCATAAGCCTATTAACTTTACACCTACCTACACTCTAACTTATAACTTATCCCCTTTTTACTTTTATATTGCTTAGGCACCAAATGTTCCTTTTAACATATAGGGCCTTTTGTTTTCTTGAGTTATAACTTGAGCAATGTAGGAACAATATCACACCTAACCATCTTTCAGCCATCAATGTTCTGTTAGTCTGGCATACTTGCCCACACACATAAACAACCTACCATCTTCACCTTACACACATAACCAGTAATTCATGTTCACGTACTTATAACTTAAAAATTTTTTATTTATCTTTACTAGGTACCAAATGTAGTTTTTTGACATAGAGGGCCTTCCATACTTCAGTTTTAAGTTGAGTACTACACGAACAGCACATTATGATCACATTCTTATCATATTTACATTTCAGCTAAACAACATATCTAAACACACCTCCATCTAGTACATCAATACTCAATAATAAATCTTTTAGGAACCATCTTCCCACATGTGCCTTTTTACCAGTTTCTAGGTACCAAATGTCTCACAACATACAGGGCCTTTTGACAAAATCTTTAGCTTAAAATAAATAGATCCTTATACATGTATAGTTGGTTGCCTATCAATCCTACAAAATTTCATAAATTCCAGTTGACCCACATTAATTTTTAAAAAAACCAATTTTCAATGTTTCAAATATAGCTATTTGATTAATTTACAATACAGATTACAATATTGATGGTTGATACTGTTACATTATTATAATTTTAACTTTTTCAATTTTAAATAAGGCTGACATCTGTCATTTTTAGACAACTACCGTAAGTTACACTGACTGCTCTGACACAACATCCGTCCTAACATGTCAACAATGTCATTTTGATCAGTTGTTATCAACAGGTCCTCGTAGACACTTCGTCTCAGGACCATTTACCTCATGTAGAGTCATACGCCGCCATGTTACCTATCCAACGGTAATTTAAACATCTTAAATTATAGGGGTTTTGACCCATATATTTTGGTGGCTACTAGCATGTACAACCGTAAGTATTAACCACATTTTGCTCTAACCTTTGTCAACATTTTAATCTAACGTTCTTTTTAATTAAAGTGGTTATATACTTTCAGGTTTGCACTGATGATGGATTGTTTAATCCGAAAACGTTTTGCAATGTGTTTGTGATAGCCCGTTTGGGGCATTTTTATATACCTTTTATAAAGGATTTTAAACAAAATTTTTTGTGATATATGGTATACAGCCAGCTACAGGAACTTAGTTTCCTCGTGGAATTTTATTGTTGTATTATTTGTGTAGTACAGTGATTCCCAACCTGTGAGTCGCGCCTCTATAAAAGGGAGCGCTATTACTATGAGGAGTAGGGCGTGAGCATATCCGAAAAAAAAAACACCAACATTGGGTAATTTACTATAACCAAAGCAAAACAAAACTGTGACAAAATGAAAAATAAAATACACATGAACAATATTATAATAGGTACACTTATAAAGAGTGTATTAGTACCACACATGAACTTATCAATATTAAATTATGAACAAGTTTAATATATATTAATGACTTCCTTGGGTCTGTTGTGTTGCAGAGTAAAGTTTATCAAAATAGGGTGTAATATTTGAAATAGACGCTCTCAGTCTTTTTCTATATTTAACTGCGATCTACATTGGATTTTCAAAGCAGCCACCGTGGAAAATCCTCTTACGTACAGGTAAGATGTTGAAGGAGGTAATAGTATACAGAAAGCTCTGTTTTTTTAGTCACAAAACTCAGTATTCACCTCTGCCCAAAATTCAAAGAGGGATTTATTATTAAACTGTTGATTGATTCTATAAAGTTATTTCTGTCGGTCAATTCATTATTGTCAGTGTCCTGTTTTACCAAATGTCTC